AAATGTAGATAGGTGGGGAAGGGTTGAATGTGACGGGAAAAAGAAAAATGTAGAGGTAAAGATTAAGGATAAAGAGTGAAATGTAGAGAGTAAAGATTAAGGATAAAGAATGAAATGTAGAGGTAAAGATTAAGGATAAAGAGTAAAATGTAGAGGTAAAGATTAAGGATAAAGAGTGAAATGTAGAGAGTAAAGATTTAGGATAAAGAGTGAAATGTAGAGGTAAAGATTAAGGATAAAGAGTGAAATGTAGAGGTAAAGATTAAGGATAAAGAGTGAAATATAGAGGTAAAGATTTAGGATAAAGAGTGAAATGTAGAGGTAAAGATTAAGGATAAAGAGTGAAATGTAGAGGTAAAGATTAAGGATAAAGAGTGAAATGTAGAGGTAAAGATTAAGGATAAAGAGTGAAATGTAGAGGTAAAGATTAAGGATAAAGAGTGAAATGTAGAGGTAAAGATTAAGGATAAAGAGTGAAATGTAGAGGTAAAGATTAAGGATAAAGAGTGAAATGTAGAGGTAAAGATTAAGGATAAAGAGTGAAATGTAGAGAGTAAAGAGTAAAATTTAGAGGATAGTGATTAAAATGTAGAGGGTAGCGAGAAGAATGCGAGGTAATTATTAAAATGTTGCGGTGAAGAGTTAAATGTAGAGAGTAAAGAGTAAAATTTAGAGAGTAAAGAGTGAAATGTAAAGGGTAGCGAGTAAAATGTAGAGGGTAAAGAGTAAAATGTAGAGGTTAAAGATTAAAATGTAGAGGTTAAAGAGTAAAATGTAGAGGGTGAAGAGTAAAATGTAGAGGGTAAAGAGTAAAATGTAGAGGGTAAAGAGTAAAAATATACAGCAGGCCTGCACAACCTGCGGCCCGGTAATTAACGATTTTTTTTTTAAATGGTCATTTTTCTTAATAATTTCCCAGCGTCCTATTTTTCTGGTACAAGTGTTTCATGAAGAACTACGGCCCGCCTTTGAGTTGTGCAGCCCTGAATCTAGAGGGTGAAGAGTAAAAAATAAACAACTTTACTTTCACCTTGAGTGTCGTACTTCACGGGAACATAAAGTTAAGTTGTCTCTGATGTGTGTGCATTCGTGATAAGCCTTTATTCAGAGCTTACAAGCGTTTTTTTTTTTTTAAAGAGAGCGTGCCATTGCGCTTTTTGCTTCTTAGTCTTATGCGCTTCCAAAAGTAGTGCACTACAATTATCACATAGTTCAGGGGCGTGCATAAAGGAGTTTACCGTAAATTTTGTGGACATTTATTTTAATTGCCAAATGTATTATATAAAAGATAGCCAGAGTCCAGATGGCAGGTGGCGAAATAATTGATGTTAACTGGTGTTATGGATTTTAAGGAAAGGGAAAATTTTGACATTTTTAGTGCTTTTTAACTCGTTTTGGTAGAAATTCTTTCTTAACAAATTTTTAAAAAAATTTGTTATTGTCTAATTTTGAGTGATAAAATGGCAATCTTTAAGTTATCGACACAAATAGAATTATTTACTTTTAAAAACTTCGAATGCTTACAAAATCCCACATGTGCATTAAACTAAAATATCTATAAGGTGCCCTTATCGTGTCCGACCTCGTAACTCTAAGCGGGCCTCAGATTATGCTTAAAACCAAACGACGAAATCAGAGAAAAGCAACAGAGAAGGTCAAATATGAGGCAAACCCAATCTCCAATAAATAATGTATTGATTTATATATTACACAAATGACATTTGTTTGTGTGTGTGTGTCTGAGTTTGTGTGTGTGGGTGGGTGTGGTGTGTGAGTGGATGGGTCTGGTGTGGTGTGTGTGTGGGTGTGGTGTGTGGTGTGGTGTGGTGTGGTGTGGGTGTGGTGTGTGGGTATGGGTGTGTCGTGTGTGTGGTTGTGGTGTGTGTCGTGTGTGTGTGGGTGTGAGTGTGTCGTGTTTCGTGTGTGGTGTGGTGTGTGGGTGTGTCGTGTGGTGTGTGGGTGTGGTGTGGGGTGTGTGGGGGGGTCTGGTGTAGTGTGTGTGTGGTGTGGTGGGGGTGTGGGTGTGGTGTGGTGTGTGTGGGCCTGGTGGGGTGGGTGTGTGGTGTGGTTCTGGTGGGGTGGGTGTGTGTGGTGTGGGTTTCTAATGTCTCTTTTTAAAGTCGTATTTATGGACAAAAAATCTGTAAAAACCTGGTAGGCAAGGTCTGGTCGGGGGGGGGGGGTGGGGGTCATTTAGCCCCACGGCTGTGCCAGCATGTAGAACGTTTTAACACATTGAACAGATTTTTTTTTATGTTTCCACACCAAAAGGGCATTTTAAAGCCAGTGGATGAATTTACACTCAATTGAAAAAAAACAAAAAAAACAACAACTAAAATAACAAACAGCATGATGGTCTCCCGGTTGTTTTAATTGAATCTTTTTTTTTTGTGGTTAGAATTCATGGGATTAGTTGGATAAAAATGTACTTTACAATTTCGCAACCGAAGCTCCACACATCAAACAGCCACGAAATAAATTTAAAAAAAAAACAATTGACACAAATCGATATTGTTTGTTATAAAAGGTATGAAAAACAATGCAATAATGGCACACACACACACACACACACACAAAAACTCTATCAAAATCGTTAATGTTCGCAATGAGAATGGCAGTAGGGATACAGCAATAGCATGAGATGTGAACAGCTAAAGTTGGTGAGATTATGGCCACAATTAAAGTTGGTGATATTATGTGCATAGCTAAAGTTGGTGAGATTATGGCCACAGATAAATTTGGTGAGATTATGTCGACAGTAAAAGTTGGTGAGATTATGTGCACAGCTAAATTTGGTGAGATTATATGCACAGCTAAAGTTGGTGAGATTATGTGCACAGCTAAAGTTGGTGAGATTATGTGAACGGATAGATTTGGTGAGATTATGTGCACAGTTAAAGTTGGTGAGATTATGTGCACAGCTAAATTTGGTGCGATTATATGCACAGCTAAAGTTGGTGAGATTATGTGCACAGCTAAAGTTGGTGAGATTATGTGCACAGATAGATTTGGTGAGATTATGTCCACAGTTAAAGTTGGTGAGATTATGTGCACAGCTAAATTTGGTGAGATTATCTGCAGAGGTAAAGTTGGTGAGAACACGTGCACAGCTAAAGCTGGTGACACTATGTGCACAGCTTAAGTTGGTCAGATTATTGCACAGCTAAAGTTGGTGAGATTATGTGCACAGCTAAAGTTGGTGATATTATATTCGAGTGACACAATATTGTTAAATATTTGACCCGAACTGTTGATACAAAAAGAATCCAGTCCAACTATTTTTGGCATACAAAAACTACATCTTCACAAGTGATGTAAACATTAAAAAGCGTTTACGTCAAGTCACCAATGGTCATGTAACTACATTGCATGGGACTCTGTCAAAGACATTGGACTTCTAGGCAGCCCTTGAACGCAACTTGTAAAAGAGGATCTCACGTTCATTCAGTACGTCCCGTTTCCGAGTTGTTAAAAATATCCCAGAAAATACCTTGGACGGAATAAGCAAATAAATAAATATATATATTTAAGTGTCTGGATGGATGAAAAGCCTGCATGGTTGGAATGCCTGGATGGATGACAAGCCTGGATGGGTGGAATCCCTGGATGGAGGGAATGCCTGGATGGAGGGAATGTCGCTGGATGGATGGAATGCCTGGATGGATGGAATCCCTGGATGGATGGAATCCCTGGATGGATGGAATCCCGGATGGATGGAATCCCTGGATGGATGGAATGTCTGGATAGATGGAAGCCCTGGATGGATGGAATCCCTGGATGGATGGAATCCCTGGATGGATGGAATGCCTTCTTTTGCACTAGGCTGAGTATCGTAGTTTAGCTTTTCATCGTTCAGCCAACTCGGGGCAAATATAAATGTTTCCTAATAGTGAAGTAAAGCGAACCATATGAGCAAATACATTCTACATATAGGTAATGTTAAGTGCATGGAACAGTGGTAAAAATGTATTCTTAAAAGACCAGCTTATAACGTGTTAGATATGATTACATCTTAAAAATTAATTTTTAAAATATTGAGAAACATTTTATTAGAAAGAATATAGTATTTACTATGACCATGGAAATTTCGGACTTGAGTATTGACTTCAGCTGTCTTTTGTTTAAAATGTGGGAGACTTCCTTAATTCGTCTGCCTTACTCTCTCGTCCTCGCCTATTTGATCCAACTGCAGGACTTTGTCAAGACGACTGGAAATAGACCAGGATGCAGCGGATGACCAGCAGTGCCACTCGTGTGTTTCTCTGCCCTCATGATGGGTTTGAAGTCGCAGGCGTTGTCGGAAATTTCATTGTGACAATGTCATACCGCCTACGGGACTCCATCACCGGGTGTGATGTCAGAGTTCGCATTCTCTTAAAGGAGCTGCCATCCAATGTTAACGTGTGAAATCCACGTTAGTTGTTACAGGCGAGGACATGGCGAGCGACAGCGGATACAAAAAAACAACGAATTTGGTGCCCTCTGAAGTTACCCTTTAATGGACTGAAGAAAGGATCATATTTAATTGCAGTGCGGCATATTTTAAGCACGAAAATATGCTCAAAGAACCTTGAAATTAAAATGTAATGTTACTTTTTAACCGGATGTTAAAAACATCAAATGAAAAAAATGGTGGCCCCCTTTGCATGGCCGCCTGCAGAGGGGGGGGGACAAGGGGGCACTCCCCCCCCTGGATTGCTTGGATAAACATTTTTTAGACAAAAATAGACAAAAAATGTATTAAAGCTAAGAGAAAATAAAGAGACAGTAACTTAGCTGATGTCCTTTCCGTTCGTTCACCATACAAATACGCTACAGTAAATTAAAACTACATTAAAACATTACTAAAAATTGTTTGCACCCCCCCCCCTGGTCAGTTAATCGATTTTTTGCGCTCCCCCCCCCAAGAAAGTTTTCTGCGGGTGCCCATGCCCCTTTGAGAATTGTTAAGGGAAAATCTCTTTTTTATTTTTTTTTAACTGTCTTTGTAACAGACCAACTCAACTGCTTGTTGTTTTGTTGACCAGATTCTGACAGTAGCAGTAAGCTTTCACTGTGACATCCCCTTCGCAATCCGCCTGACCCTCGTAAAAATTCAACCTGTCAATCGTTTGACCAACGGTCACCGACAGAATATTGTTGTCATTGCCAGACTCCAGCTCTTCAAAATAGTCCAGCAGATCTGAATCATCACATTGCTTCGTGGTTACCGTTCCTTCGTACAGGGCGCCCCCTGGCGACGTGATGAATTTAATCTTAAATACTCTTTGGTCCTTGTCGTCGACTTTAGTGAGTTTAATGTGGGCCACTTGAACAATCTCTGCCAAATCCAAGTTTAAGCATTTAGATTTATCAGTTTTGGAATTCACTGACTTGAGTACGATATCGACCAGACCTTTGCTCAAAACCGACGTGTTGGACATTTCTTCTATGTGACTCTGGCCACATATACAGAACTCCGATGGGACCGGAACGTTTCTGCACACCCTTGTCTTCGGTATTTCTCGGAACAGAGAAGTGCCGTGACTTCCTGGAACGAGCGGACTGGCGCGGTCAGCCTTGAAGTAGATGAGATCCCGTAAAGTCGCGTGCGTGTCGAAGTGCGTCGTGAGTCGCCCGGCGTTCGTCTTTAAATTATTCGCAACATCCGGGTACTTGTCCAAAAACCACTTGGGGAACGTGAAAATAGCATACGGTGCCCTGCTTTCTATGAGGCCGTTGAAGGTTGCCCGAAGAGGCCCCCATCTGATGCCGTGATCGGAAAACGAGATCAGGAGCGTGTTATTTAAATGCCCACCGTCGCTGAGGTTCTTATAAAACTCGTGTGTGTGGTCGTCGGCCATTTTCGTCGTGGTCACGTTGTCGTGCGATATCCGTGTCTGGAAGTAAAACGCGAACAGCGGCTCGTCTCGAAACGTTTCTAAATATTTCTTCACATAATCGTAATAAAAATTGATCTCCGCCTGGTTACCCAAGCAGTGGCGCCCGGCTTTCCAGAGAACTTTGTCGCTCTCCATGGCCAAACTGATGGGGCGACTGTTGTAATGTGTTGGCGAAGACTTGAACCCTTGGCGTCCTAAATAAAACGCTCCGAGGGTGGGCTGGTCCTCTGCATACAACGTTCTATACCCAGCCGCCTCGAAGTCCTTCCAGATGAATTTGTAGTTGTCCAAACTTTCGGACGCCAGCCACCATTTTTTGATTTCATGGTCGTAACTTCCGGTTAACATCGCCACAAAGTTGGGGTACGTGTTGATGGCGACCTGCGTGTGCATGCTCAGGTCAAACGAGTTGAGCTCGCTCATGAGAAACGTGTACGTTTTGTTCATGGCGCGCATGAAGTGGTTGCGAGGGACGCCATCCATTCCTATCATGACAACGTTCAGAGTTTCTTTGGGATTGTGATACGCTTCTCGTGTCTTGAGCTTGAAGGACAGCTCCTCTGCCAACTCTTGGCGTTTGGGAATGAGGGCATGGTACGTTTTAGATATGGTCTGCGATGCATTATTCTCGCATTCTACAACAATAAATTCGGTTTCATCTTTGAGATTAACTCCTGTGGTGAAAGTCGCGCTCCAGTCTCCGCTAGTCATAGTTTTATCTCCCGAAGGATGGCTGAAAATCTCTTGAAATTTACATGATTTAAAATTTCCGATTCCATTGGTCCTTGTTGCGTTCACCTCTAACCCATTTCCCTTGACGTAGGTCAGGTCAGGCGTGTAGCCTTCGCACTTAACTTTTTCATTGTCTAATCCGGACAATGCCATAATTTCCGGTTTGAATGGATCTATATCCGGAAATACACACGTGAATGCGTCATCGTCGGAATATTGAAAATCTGTGGAAACGTAAACTCCAGATCTGAAGATTTCCAACCGTTCTACGACAATCAGACAAGAACAGGTGATGACCAGCAATCCAAATGTTCTTGGTAAGGTCCAAGCAGTAGGACCTGAAAACATTTGGAAAATAGTTCTGTTATTGCCAGGCTATTATTCTATGAAATTTGAGGGGAAAAAAAAATGTTGGACAAAACAAATCTTTAAATATGATGTTTGTTAAAAAAAAAATAATAATAAAAACTGCGCCCTTCGATCCCCTACACCCTTGGTGCGCAATTGCTGTCACCGGAGATTAAAGTGTGCAAAAATTCAAGATCAAGAAAATCGCATTTAGTGCTGAAAAGGGTGCTCACGTGATCACGACGCAACATTGATAACATGGTCGTCGTCTTTTGTTGATATTCAAGTAACTCATAAACGGGTGACTGATCAAATTGTATGTCCTTTACAGGAAAAAAACCAATCTCATCCATGTCATCTCGCTTTAAATCAACTATTTTGGGGTTCGTTGTTACAACTTGAAAGATAATTTTAAATATGCGCCCCAAACAAACCAACTATAACATTAACACAAAAGAAAATGTTAAATTTACAAAGTTCACAATTTTATTTTGAATTATCTTCGACCAATACTCAACTGTATTAGCTGCGGTGTTTGGGGGGGGGGGGGGGGGGGG